GTCCACGTCGGCGTATTCGCGCCCCAGCCTACGAAGTCGAGCTCTCATCGTGTGAGAGTTGCCTTAAAGAAATAGTGTGAGGGCTCCTTAAGAGACCAGCGCGCGAGGTGAAAGCGCCAATTGCTTGCAATGCGCTCTTATTGTCAGTCACGGCCGAGCCGCGAGCTGTACGGTCGCTTCTCTCGCGATTCTCTCGCGAATCTCTCGCCGAGTTCTCTCGCAGCGCGAAAATCGGCTGCGGATCTTGCGTCGATCGCGTGCGAGAGGAAGCGCTCTTCCTCCGCCGCGTCGCGCGGAAACGTCGCGTCGCGCGTCCGTCCAACTCCCTCCCGAGCCGCGTGTCAAGACGAGATGTGGAAATGAGAGAGACGCTGAAGATCCGACGACCCAATACGCAAGGTGAGAAAACGAGAGGAGTCCATCGCGCCGCTTGCCCGCGCGCGCGCGCGCGCCCCGCGTTCTCCACTCTCGGATCTCGCCGAGGAAATTTCGAACAATGATCCTCGAGCTGGAGAACAGCGCCGAGACTTTCCCGTAGTCGTCGCGGAACTTCCCTCGCAAACGTCCTTGGTCCGTCGATCCGTCGTCGCGCCACCGAGGAGAAATCGCCGTCGCGATTAGCCGATCGTGCGTCCCCTAATTGTTCTCTGCCTTCCGCTCAGACGTTCTTTCCCAAGTTCAATTAATCGCCGCGTCTTTAACCCAATTCCATCCAGCGATTACGCAACGATTTCCGCACGCTGCCAGCCCGATGAAGTACGCGACGCGTACGCTTCATCGTTTTATTCCTATGTTATTCTCATCTAGCTCCGTTAAAAGTGACTCGAATGTTAATTCATCAAAAGTCCCAGCTCGCTCTAGCACAGATAACGAAGTCACCTCGACCGCGGGGAAGTGGCTCGGGAGAACAATTAGAGTTTCTACTTTCTTCGCTAATGAGAGATCAAAGAAGATCGCGGTAAACCACGCTCTCCTTTCCTCCCGGAGACGCCGCCTCGAATTCGGGCTCGTTCACGAAGTTCGCGAATCTCTCGATTTTTTTTCCCCCGCCCCGTCAAATTTATCTTCGCGCGGACATTCGAAGCGATATCTCGTTCCTCGATGACGCGCGCGCTTCGTAAAATTGTCGGGCGACTCGGCGAAACGAAAGTTGCCGTCGTCGTCGATGGTCACGAAATTCCACAGCGGTGGGGAATCCGATCGCGTGTTTCGCAGTCCGCGGCCTTATTTGACTCACCTCACGCACGTTGGTCCCCATCGTGTTTCCCTCGTTCGCGGACATGGTCCAGCGCGCGTGGGCGAGAGCGCGCGCGTGCCTCTGGATTCCTCTCGGCGTGTCTGACCTTGAGACCGGATGATTTCAAGTGGCCGTCAGCCTGGGCGGCGGATCGGTGCTTCTCATCGGCGGCGAGCCGCAGAAGAGCGCCGGGGAGTGGAGACCGGCGGGCCGGGACGATGATCCGCCGCGGAAGACCCAGGGCCTGGTGCAATTGCGCCTTGTCAGCCTCGACGAGGACGTGGACACCCAAGAGACGTCGTGTTACGTGCACGAAGGTACCTGCGCCGGGTACCCAGGCTCATGCGTGAAAACGCGATCGTGGAGTCAACTCCTGTATCTTGTAATATACCCAGTGAGAAATGATTCGTCGAAACGATCGTCGAATCGACATCGATTGACGAGTCATTTCTCGCTGGGTAGTGAAAGTGCTAGGAGTCAGCGGCTTTGTCTCTTTTCCACACGGAGAGCATTTTCTTGTAAGATTTGTCCTGAAAATATTGTAATCGTCGGACACGGCATTTCGAAGAGTCTTGTAGGGGTTTTTTGAAATTTTACCATACGTTTCACAATACTTAAGTATTTACTAGTAAAATGTATGGTAAACTTTCAAAGAAACTCTCATAGAGTTGTTCAAAATGCCACGTTGTCCCACGATTACACGATTTTCGGGGTAAATTTTAAGAGAAAATTCTCTCCTTGTAAGGGGACACTTGGAAAGAGAGAGAGAGAGAGAGAGACAAAGCTACTCACTTTTAGCATTTTTACTACAGTGTAAGGTGCAGAAGTGACCACCAGGAAGACGGCAGGAACTGTCGATTGATGTCTCCAAGTCTCTCTCATTCTCACGTCAAATTAACTGAGAAACACGTGGATTCATTGCACGTACCAAGATTACCAGATAGCAATGCATGTCTAAAAGACATCATGAAGATATCTTTAAGATAACTTTTAGACACACATGTTAGGGCCTGAGCAGAATGGCTGTCTTGTACTCTTAAGACGTAAGACAGTTATTGTGCTTTACTTCAAGACAAAGGCTTAAAACATGAAGCATTGTCTTCTGGCTGTCTTAAAGGTACAAGATTGCCATTTTGCTCAGACCCTTACATGCCTAAAAGACAACTTAATGCCGTTTTAAAAATGTCTTTTAGACATGCAAGCTATCTGGGAGAGCGTCTGATGGACGACACCGATTTGTCTTTATCTGCCCTAACGTTTTCGAATATCCTTGCAGCGGCCTGAGAGATGGTTAAGGGATGAATTGTTAACGCAGCAATTTAATTCTCAACATCGAAATGTGTTTACGTGAGCGAGAAAGCACGCGCTTGCGACGTTTATGCATTAATCTGCGAAACTACTTAAATGTTACATTACGCTGGAATATATTAGAATCTACCTCTCGAAAGTCCTTTTTAAAAACGACCATACGTAGGCACTTTCTCGTTACGCCTCTCCGGAGTTAAAGTAGGGGCGAAGAATGAACATTACATTTTCGTAACTTCCGGTTCCCCTGATCGGACTTTCTCTCCGTCAGACAACGTCTCCGACGACAGCACGTACGAGAGTCTGTATTCCTGCCAGCCGGATGATTTCAGCAGCGATTCGGAAACGGAGAGGAGCGGGTCGCGGCAGCCGCAGGGCGATCACAGGGTGATCGACGCTTATCAGGAATGTCCTACGAGGCCGACTCCGCCGCCGCCGAGGGAGGCCAGTCTAACTCAGACCCTGGGCAGGCGGATAAAGATGCTGCGCAGGACCTGGAGCATCACCAAGGGCAGCCTAGGTAGGATCAGGCGGCGAACGTCGGTCGACGAGTCCGGCTTCGACGACAAGGAGCCTCACGCCGTCAACGAGCCTCACGTCGACGCTGGAAGGTACTTCAATTTCCGGCTGATGCACTTCAGCCGAAAGAGCGTCGCTGGCCCGCCGACCTTCTACCTAGACGAGAACGACGGGAACGACCGCGACGACGTTCGTGACAACAACAACGGCGTCGCCAAGGAGGCGATCTACACCAATAGCCAGTACATGGGAAGCGGTAGCGACGACTCCTCGACAACTCCGACCGGCACGGATGTCGGTGAGTCTCGGTGGTTTGCAGGGGAAAAAATGTAGCTGCCGTAGCTCAAAACTGCATGTGGCAACTAAATTTCAGTTGTAAAATATGGACAGCTAATATTTTGCTACTGTGCCTATTGTATCCCAGTGAGAAATGATTGGTTGAAACGATGTCGATTCGACATCAATTTGAAGGTGTCGATATGGTATTCGACATCCTTTCGACATTGATCGACGAATCATTTCTCACTGGGCAGCAAACCGTTGGCTGTGTTTTAGAAATTGATAGTTTTGGCAGCAAAATATTCTAGCAAATCATAATTGGCTACGGTAGCGAAAATATTTTTTTCAGTGTGCTAATCATCGTATTTTCATTTCTAATTTGCGACACAAAATGCGTAATGATATTGAATTCTATGAGACGAATGCTAAATTGATAAACAAAGTATTCAATTGTACAGTGGATAATGGTATCTTACGGGCGCATTATTGCAGACGTTAGTTAGTCCGAGAAAACTCTGAGAACACGGAATGGTACAGATAATTCGTTATAAATTTCTCTAAATAATAAATTAGAAATCACAAACAGCCACGAGGGAAAACGACGAGTTTTATTGGCGCATCTGCGAGAGCGACCTGATTTTACCAGGCACAGGCTAAAGTTAGCGATTCTCACAGGCCAAATATCGGGTTTTTGCTCGGCGATTTTCGGAATATTCCCACACGCGTAAGAATGCCACTCGCCGAACCAACGCGTAAAAAGCGTACGCTTGTATACTTTCACAGGACTCTAATGGTACTTCCTTCTAATTAATTAACGCACGCGCTTGAATTTATAATGTACGCGCCGGTGTTTGACTGCCGCACGTTCGCGCACGGGAAGCCGCATTGACAAAATGTTATTATTTCAGATCATTACAGCGTGCTCGCCGATCAGGAGCCTCTCTATCAGTTTTACGCGGCCTCGGTGGCCCGCGTTGCTTTCGAATCAGATTCCGAAGGCTACGAGGAGGTAATGCTCTTACTTTACTTATACTGAAAATTTATACGAACCGTCACTCAAGAAACTTGTGTGCTATCTGGGTGGATAACGATTCATAGTTTTTCAAAGGACAATAAGTTCTTTTTAATTCCTCTTTTTTATCTTACTTATTTTTTTATCGCGTGGTTTACTAAAACCTGTAGTTTCTCATTTTTCTTGTTTCTTGAAGACTATTTATGGCAAGCTACTTCTTTTTGTCACGATTTATAGAATTGAACAATTATGGCTACAATTTACACAATATTGCTTTGTAATTTTCAGGTGGACGATATGACGTGGAAAACGGAACCGGCCGCGCCGGTCCTTGCCAGATCAGGACAAAGAATGCTCTGGTGTCATACTCCGCAAGTGATACACAGTGGCCTCTTACGTAAGTTAAAAAATCGTAAGCGCTCTGTAATTAACCAATAAATTGGTGCCAGTTGTGTCGCAAATTGGCTACTTGTTAATTATCTACTGGCGACATTAAACTTTACACTCTGTTAAGAAATCGCATATTCAATTCTAGAGATATTTCCGTCATAGTAAAATTAATCAAGAGTGAAACAATGGCCGTAAAAGGTTAGCAAAAGAACGTTCAATTTTAGAGAAACTAACGCCGGAAGAGAGGAAGATTCAGGAGGCGAAGTTCGAGATCTTGACGTCCGAAGCGTCGTACTTAAATTCTCTTCGGGTCCTACAGAACGAGTTCCTCAATAATCATACGCTAATGAATGAGATTCTAACACCGACCGAGAGGAAGAAATTATTCGGCGGCGTGCCGAACGTGTTGTCGGCCTCGCAAACGTTTCTAGCTGAGCTGGAAGCTGTGTGGAGGGAAGATCCGATGTTACCAGGCCTGTCGAAAGTATTGCTGAGGCACGCCGAAAAGTGTCAGGCCACGTACGTGGCGTATTGCTCGAACCAAGTCAGCATCGACACGACTCTGAAGGAACTCAAGTAAGACGATCCCATAAAATCGCATTACGTATTTGCGTTTTCTGAAACATTTGAATAATAGAGGAAAATCCTCCATTACGAGATAGGCTTCTAATATGAGACTGCAGATTTTCCAACATCGAAATTTAATCGCAAATCTTTATTCGCAACGACTGCGCGATCTAACAATGAATTTTCCACTAAACAGATTTCACTCCAAGGGCAATAAATTAACGAATGAAACCAATAGATGATGCCCATTAATTTAGCAAAAACCCCTGCCATCTTATAATAGGGAACTTTCCTCTATATTTTTTAAATGGCCAAATAAAATATTTGTAGGCAAACTGGGATTCAGTTAATATTTTCTTTCTGTTACAGAGCTCGGAAAGGCGTAAAGTTCTTGGAAGCTGTCAAACGCATAGAGATGCGACCAGCGTGCCAAAATCTATCTCTGCATTCCTTCCTAATGCTGCCAATGCAACGTGTTACAAGGTATGTACATACAGTATCAGCGTCAAGCCATGAATTACTTTAACTAAATTGAATTCTCATTGAAGTTTATTTATGTGAATTTTTGCACTTTGCGATCGTTATTAATCGATTCATAGAGAAATTATTTACACGCCAATAATTCTGCTTAGACTACCCTTATTAGCTGACGCCGTTGTTTCCAAATTGTCGATGGGAAATTCGGACAGAATTTCTTGGGAAAAGGTTTTATCAACGTTGAGTAACGTCGTTGCTGAATGCAACGAAGGTGCACGCGCTGCTGCGCAAGAAGCCGAAATGGAGGCTTTGGCAAGGTATAACACGCGCTGTTATTATTTAATATGTATATTCATCTCCTTTTGTGTATTACATAAGATAAGTTACGTGTATTTAATCACAGGAAATTGGAGTATACCTCGAAAATTAAACCAATTATGCTGAGAGGCAAGCAATTAGTTAGAAGTGGATCAGTCGTGCAACTGTCGACAAGAACGGACACCGAATACAAGCTCACATTCGGGAAGAAATTTACCAAGACGCCGCTCTACCTTCTACTACTCACAGATTATCTTCTAGTCACAAAATTGAAATCTAAGTAAGATATTATTTTGCGTAATTGCGGTTTGTTCGTCTCGTTGCATTTTCTCTTTCGGATAAGTATTTTCATTGGTGAAGTTGAAAATAAAATAAAAATTTGCAGTGCTCATGACGAATGCTACATCGTCATAGACGCGTGCAAACGGAATCTTTTGGCCCTGGAGTCGGCTTCCGAAGAGTCGCCCTTCGCCGGACGGAACGCCATGATCCTAACTTTTCTGGAGAACCATTGTAGCCGCCAAGTAGAGTACATCTTGACGTGCGAGAATAATACGGAACGGGAGCGATGGTTGGAAGCTGTCTCGCCGCCCAAACGTGGCTTAGTTGGAGAAACGTTGTACGAATCCTGGGACTGTCCGCAAGTAATGGCCAAATATCCATATTCACCGAATCAACCAGACGAACTATCGTTACAGTCAGGTAATATATTGCATATGATGTAGAGGGGAAAATCCTCTATTGTGAGATAGTAGGTTTTCAACGTCCAAATTCAATCACAAATCTTTTTTCGCGACGACTACACGATCTTAACAATCAATTTTTCACTAAACAGATTTCACTCCAAGGGCAATAAATTCATGGTGGAACCAACAGATGATGCCTATTAATTTAGCAGAAACTCCTATCTCGTATTAGGAGCCTATTTTATAATAGGGGACTTTCCTCTATGTATATTTACGCAGTGTTTTGTAGCTGACGTTCTATACATACATTATTAAACAGATATTATCAATAGAGCCGTTTTGTTTTTAAGAAAAAATGTTTTTTAATAAGAATTAATCTTTTCAAGTTTTTTCAATAAATATCCAGACGAAACCTTCACGAAGCACCAGGGATACTCTTTCTTACAAATTTGGTTTCTTCAAAAATCGTCTTTCCTTGCAAGATTTTTAATGATTGCATTTTTACTGAAATATTTCATAGTGAAATAAATCATGATTCTGCTAAATTTGCTCGAGTTTTATTTTTCAGGGGACGTAATAAATGTACTCAGGAAGATGGCGGACGGCTGGTATCACGGTGAAAAATTGTTGGACGGCGAGCAAGGATGGTTTCCGGCAAATCACACGAAGGAGGTTGCATCGGAGCACGTGCGCGCGCGTAATCTGAAGCAACGACATCGTCTTTTAGCACTCAGCAACAGCGTAATACAACAAAGAAGAGCGAGACAAAATCAGGGCATTCATTGACGAAATTAAAATGTGATCTGAGCTCGAATCAGATATTGTGATTATTAATAAATTATTTGTTTATACATACGCGATTTCTATGATATTTCAGCATTGAATATCCCGATTAACTATGTGCCAATGTAATGTTACTCGTCGGAGCAAAAAATACGACTTTCTATAATCTTTTACTGTAGTATATTGGAGTTGCAGAAAGCTGCCAAGAAAAAGATAATGATATATAATAGTTCATATTTTACATATACATGTATTGTATATAAAGACATGGAGGGAGAGGGAGAGAGAGAAAGAGAGAGAGTGTTGTAAGAAAAGTATGCATCATTTATTATTTTTATACAAATACAATATATAAACGTTATTTATATACTTCTTTATTCTTACATAACTTTGACTTGGTCGAGTAATCAGAATGTTTGAAATAAAGGAACGATAGTAAAAAAAAATCAGAAAATAAAGGATACTGAACACGTGGTTTTCACAAATGCATGTTGCACGACAGTCTTGTATAAGAAGTGCTCTCAATTCATAAATATACTATTACATTTTCATCAATAGGCAATGAAAACGGAAATATTTTGAAACAAAAATTAGTGTTTAACATAGACTTAAACAATATAAAATCTTATCGATGTGGATACTTCGTTAACTAGAAGTTCATGTTTCTATTTGTTTCAGGCTAATCTTTGTCCAAATATATTTTTATATTTATGTATCACTTATAAGAAATGTACGTGTAGTAAGTTTCTGAATTCCTTATTGTGTTTTCAACATTTGGACAATCTCCGAAGCGTCATTGTATTACACAATAGCAAAAATAACGCGTATAAACAATATGTAAACTGATAAAACGTACAAAATTCTGATTAAAAATTCATTAATCAGGTTGCTTATGCGTTACAATTTAGGCCATTGTCTGTAAACTGATATTAATCAATTGATACAATGGACTTATCACAACACGTCTTGAATGATGTTCTTATCAAACACCAAGTGAGTGCAATGCATTAGTGTTAAATGCGTGTCTTGGAATGTCCAGATGGTTTCACGTCGAACAACTTCCTAACGAAATATACTTGGATCATGGTTGTCACCGTAATGACAACCACCTGCGCGATCGACCACGTCTGCACGTAAGAGTTATTGTCTAACAACAGATTTAAATCTCTGGCTTCTCTGCCCCTGCTCCAATGTTGAGTGTGGAGCATCTCGTTGATGTTTTTCTCCACATGCACGATTGTATTCTGAAAAAGAGGGGAATAAACAATAATAATATATAATATATAATTATATTATATGTATTATATGCGTGACACACATACCGTGAAGTTCTCCACGGAGAGATTGAGTTCTTCTAATTCCTGTGTATATTTCTGCCACTTGTCGTATCTACAAATGAAGTTAACGAGGTAAAAAAATATATTTTGTTGCCTCTGACACATCCTGTATCTTTGATAAATTAATCATAAAACCTTTACCTGATCACTGTAATGTACAGATTGACTAATTTTGCAGCAAATCTTGAAAATTGATTATCAATGCACACGCTGTAATAACCACCGTTCGTCGATTGATCCTGATAGTCGGCATTGGCACGCCATTGGTAAGGGTAAACTATAATCCCTTCCGGATTTCTTACAGCAAAACCAGCCTTGCCGTCTCCACCACGCAGGACCTACAATCAAACCAGGCTGCTTGAATCGGTGTAACGTTGATATATCAATACGTCAGTCATTATTTTCTATACCAAAATATCGCCGTATTATATTTATATTCCCTATAATCCAGTCGCACTTTAAGTGGCAACTTTTCACAATTCTTTACAAATCTTGTTGGTATCGCAGCCACATAATATTCTTTATGTACAATCAATTCCCAGACTCTACATTACAAAATTGCAGATCCTGTGAAAAACGGATAAGCACATGATACCGGTTTTTTTTTACAGTACACTAAACGACTGCGAACATACGTGAGCGTCGGAGCAAGCGCTCGAAAGTTGCGTGCTCCTGCGACTCGTGAGGAGAAAGTTGTCTCCGAGTCCACGCAACCATATGGCGAAGCGAGTCGCGAGTCGCATCCCGATACTCTCGCGTGACATCTTAATCATTCGAAACGTCTCAACGGACACACAGCCGACGGTACCTGGAAACTGACGTAGAACGTCGCACCCGGGTTTACGTATTGGAAGTAACAGTCCTCCTTGCCGGCGTCAATGTGCACCTTGTAGTCCATCGCGACCGCGGGCAGGTTCTCGTAAGAGAAACCGTCGGCCGGCGGCGCGATCAGAACCAGGGTGAGCACGCCAAGTAGCACGCTGCCGAGCTGCACGAAGAGCGACATCGCCGCGGCGCGATGGGCATCACAGCGAGTGATGCGTCGGCGACGACCACGCGGACGAGATCGCCAGACCCGTTTGACAGACCACGCGTTCAATTCTTGGAGGCTCTAAAATTCTACTCGGAGCACAGAGGTATGCGCATGTGTATGTACATACCACACGTCATCGACCACGTGACCGAGCTCGACAGACTCTTGTGCTCCGATCCTCCGATGTAGTCTATTTCTTGGGAATTGTATGAAATAAATTATGCTTTTTGCTTATACATTTTCGCGATTTATCTTGAATATTACAGGAATAAAATGTTATATATGTAGTTAAAATGTCAATTTTTATAAATAATTCCATACAGCAAAGTGTATGAAAAAGATATCATAGGATATCTAAGCATCAGATATCTGATTACGTAAGGATTATTCAGATATCACTGGAATATCTGGGGGTCAATTCTAAATCTTGAAACGTAGTGAAAATGCTACAGGTGAGCGGTTTTGTCTCTAAGGGGACAGTTAGAAAGAGACAAAGCTACTCACTTTTAGGCCAGTATTCATAGTCGGATCTTATATTCTAGACTGTCTCAAGATCATCTTCAGGTACTCCGTAGCCAGCATCTTTATATAAATTCAAGACGATCTTGATTATAAGATCCTATTATGAATACCGGTCTTAGCATATTGTTCATCCATGTCAAAGTCTCTTTGACAAGAAGAAACAATGTTTTAAATTCCGTCGAAAAATAAATATACATTTTATATATTTGCGCGTGTACATATGATTATACAGAATACCGCATTTTTAATAACGCATGTTCTTTCAGATACACGATACAGGATACCTCAACTGAGGCCTGTCTTGCCGTTAATCAAATAATATAATCAAATATAATCAAATAAAAATGCCTTGTGAAACATTGAAAATTAGAAGATATTTTCCAAGATGGTATGCTGTTGCAAATAAATTGCAATTAGTTTCTAAACATTTGAATTAATGTTTTCAAATTAATTTACTTGCATATTAATTTACTTTCACACAAATTTTCAAATTTGCAATCAGATACGAAGACTGAAGGAACGTGCGTTATTTGAGATATATATCTCTTTGTATATTTCATATACAATTTATAATCTATAAACTCGACACAGTCACGAAACGACAATGATGTGCCTTTCTATTTTTTTTCATAAATACATATCTTCGAACATATGAAACAATTTACTCTTCTTGCTCTTTGGGCAGATTCAATCCTCGCAAGTTTCTCTGGCACGAAACAAAACTAAATTTATGCAATCTTTCCAATATTGATAATTGAATCGCGCTTGATGCTAAGGCATAAGCTTTTTCTAGCGACTTCGTGTATTTGGTTTTGTCGAATCCATTTAGCTTGAATAATAAAACATGAATAAGCAAAAGTCCAAACAAGTGAAAAATAACAAGCTATGTTACAAATTGATAAAAAAAGATAATGATAATCTTAAATATTTCAATATTTTTTATGTAAATAAATTATACGTAACAAGATACCTTTTTCATAAGAAGCCTTTTTGAACATTTTGTAAAAGTTCTGATATCTCTAGTATTAAGCCAAGTACGTCGAAGTTTACTGTTAATAAACGTCACATGATATTTCACCTACAAGTGCATCACATTTGTTCGATTATCATAAATCAATTGCGTAGCTCTGACAAGTATTTTACAAAGAGACGTAAATAACAATTAATAACAAAATACAGGGTAATTAAATTTGTTACATATATGTATATGAATGTCATAAATTCACTTATGATAAAATTTTAATTACATTAATATGAGTTTGTATTTTCCATCTTGAACTTACAGGAATTAATGATCGTGCCTTTAATTCGTAATATCGTATAGCTTCAGGGCAATCGTCTACAATTGCGGGCCACCATGGATAACCATCCTTGCGGGCCCATACTACACTTCCGGCATTGTATTTATTTCTTATCAAATCCTCCTCGACTTCCTTCGTGATCACCACTTCTGGTATGGAACAGTGGGCGATAGTTTTATCTGTAAACGTATTTCTTTAATATTGTCATTTGTGCATATTTTATATATATGTATTAAATAACTGTTGTTGTAGCTTTTATTGTAATTTTATACACTGTTACTTTATGTATTATTGCTCGAGTAATAATATGGTTTAATATGCATCGATTGTAGCGACGTAATGCAGTAATGGACATGCACCTGAATTCATTTCGCAATACCAAATCTTTGGTACAGCCACAGGATCATGGTAGTCATCGCAGTATCGCCATTTTCTGCAATTCTTCCTGCAGCACTCGATCCACATACCCACGTCTCTTCGTGGTTGTAACCATAATAATTTCATCTCTTTACTCAACGTGGGGTCACATTGTGACAATATAGAAGGGCACCTAACGAAATCTAAAGAAGAACAAAAAAGAAATTCGCACGTTAACCAATCTTGTTATTAATTAGTTTTTTTTTCATTACTTGCGAACAATATTAAGGGCCGACTTTTCCAATGTCTTGATAAGCTAACTAATAATTAAACTATACGTCTATCTTGGTCTAATTTGAAGGTAAAATAAAAACATATATATGATTTAACTGTTGCAATAAAAGTAGTCAGTTACCAATAGACGTACGTTTCTTACGCGCGTTCTACAGTTTTTATACATTTCCATCATTTTTAATAATCATCGTGATACCGACAATTAATTAATCATTGATCTATCGATCCTATATACACAATTGTTGTCATTTTATAAGTAAAGAACAATTTAATCAACAGGTCACTGAATCAAAGGTAATTTAATCAACATATTTAAATTATTTATATACTGATTTGATAACCACATTTACGCATAGCGCTTAATTAATTATGAATATACTGATTTAATTTCCATCGTGATACTGAGTGTGAGTAAATTTTTAATATTCAATGAGCTCATTACATAAATACACCGATTTAATCATCTCATCATGAATACTATCATCGTTGTCATCATCGTCGTCATTATCATCACCATTATTATTATTACTGTGCTGATCTGATGATGATAATAATTGATTTCTTCCAGCAACTTGTATACGAACTTGAGTACAAATTTACCTGTCTGATTACTGCAACTTATTTGTGACAATTGCAAACAATCATTGTCATTGTTCATATGTTTCTTTGCGACAGAATGATCACTTTTCATTTCTTTTTCACGTTGTCGCACTCCATAGCGCATACTCTCCTCACTGTCATACTCATGTAATAACTGTAGCGCTGTCTCCAACAAGCTGTCGTGATCACAGCTTTCGCTGAAGCTTTCGCTATATTGGTTCGATGAAGACTCTGCTTTTTGCTTGGATATTTTTGTCGGAAAAGCTACGCTTTTTTGAAAAGGACTGCCGTTCTCTGTTTCCTTGGACGTGGAAGGAACAGATTCCAAACCATTTTTGGTGAAAAGAAATTCTCCCGTTTTGAGAAATTTTGGAGGTACAGACGACACAGCGGTTCTCGTTAATGCTACAAAAGGGGGGAGTAATTGGGGCCTCAAAGAGCAACGGCGGAACGTGGCCAGAATTTCGTCCTGGAAATAAACATAAACGTGAAATTGAACTCTTCTGATGACAATATTTTATCGAAAGCTTTTGGGGGACAATGGGGGTAGTGGAAGGAGAGAAGGAAAGAGAGAGAGGAGAGGGGTAGAAGAAGAGAGAGCGAGAAAGCGAGAAAGCGAGAAAGCGAGAAAGCGAGAAAGCGAGAGAGAGAGAAAGCGAGAGAGAGAGAGAGAGAGAGAGAAAGAGAGAGATGGATACGAAGAAAAACTCGTCGTAATCAGAACGACTGAGTATAATTAAATTCCTTTAGCAAATAATAATATTAAATTGCAGAGAACAGATAAATTTGATAAAACTCGGCGACATTCTTTCTAATTTACTCGCGAAGCGGTTCGTCCACTTTCCGCGACGGTGTTACGTTGTTCGCAATCCCGATCGTCGAATATCAGCAACGGTTTTCGCGTCCCATGACCCAGCTAGCTCTGGCTCATGTCTGCCAGAACAGATTACAGTCAATTTGATGTCGTATTGACCAAAATATGGCATAAATTTGGTCAATATGACATGAGATTGACGTCATCTTGACTTTTCATTTTCCTTGGGTGGACCTGTCGATTTCTGCCGACAATCTGTTGACAGCGTACGTTTTACGGAAATTACGGACTCTGTTGCCAAAACTAAAGCCAAACGCGTACACAGATGGCTTTGGTTTTGGCGTGGGCTTCTGATAAATCTGCTGCCAATCTGCCTAACATTTTGCCGACTGGGTGTCCACGGGACGCGAAAGCCGTTGCTGATATTGCGACTGTCGTGACTCGTTCGTTGAAAATTTAATTATCTTACCTCAATCGACATGTTTCGGCGTTTTAGAAAGACAACAGAAAGCAAACAGAAGTAACGAGAGATGAGATCGGGGAATTTAGTACGCGGGAAAAGGCCACCGCTACGCTAACGGCTAAACGGGGTTTACACGAGTGTAAGCACGGACGGCTGCTCTTCCATTCGAATCTCCGAGCTCTCAGGGTGCGTTTCCACGGAGCGCGTCGCGTCGCGCGCGATATCCAATGAGCGTGCACGAAAGCTAGACCGGTTCCCCATGAAGCGTGTCCGTTCGAGACGCGATGCAAATGAGTGCAGTTAGAACATCTACGCGTATTACACATTTTCATATTTAATGTGACACAATTATGACACATACAATTGAATGAAAAACCAGTTTTTGCTTCGGAACGTTTTCAAGCAAAAACTGGTTTGAATTATGCGCTTTCCAATGAGAAATGATTGGTCGAAACCGCAGTCGTATACACTAAAGGCCTTCACACATAAAATTCCGTAAGGGCGTAAAACGTAAGCGTAAGAAAATCAACAGATTGGATTTGTTACTGCTTGCATTATTGCCTTACGTTCTCGACTGTGATTGATCGATTTTATTATGCTTACGTTTTACGTCCTTACGGAATTTTATGTGTGAAGGCCTTAAAACAGAATTTCCAGTGGTCGGGGTGTCTACGTTAACTAGTCCTAAATAATAAGAGAAGCGCAATCGTTAAAGCCTCGTCTACATAGAAGTCGTAAAGTCGTAGTCGTAAGAATAATCGACTGCGATTGGTCAATTTCGTCAGACACATAAGAATTGACCAATCGCAGTCGACTATTCTTACGACTACGACTTTACGACTTCTATGTAGACGAGGCTTTAACCCCCTCCGTGCTACTCATGGTCACCATGTTAGACCCGCAGCTGAAATACTATAGCCAGAGAGAAACCTGAGACCCGGCCACGCCGGCGTCTACTTGATACCGTTTCAGGAGAACTCTACTCTTGCCTATCTCCTTCTCTCTTTCGTTTATTCGATTCGTCATATATTATATGTATAAAAAAATGCGTAACGTGCTGGGTCATGTTTACGATTCGCAATTATTCACGTAATCGCTCTGACGCCTTCCAGTGTCGCGGCGTATCGCCGGTACAATAGTCCCCACTCTGAAGCGCGCTCCGGAAAACGGTGGGAAGGACAGTTGGACTTGGGAGCAGCACGTGAGCGGCACTAATCCAGGATCTTCGACACCGACCACGCTTCCGAAGTAGTACGCCGCGACTGGTGTGTCGCGGATCGCGGATTCTCGTCGGGTAAGTGCCCGCTGCGGGTTCTGATCGCTCCCCAACGAGAAATGACTCGTCGATCGACGTCGAGTTTGCCAGTGTTAATTGTTTGGGACGAGTCGTCTCTCACGCGTGGTCTACAGTGCGAGTCGCAGAGTCGTAGTCGTAAGAATAATCGACCGCGATTGGTCAATTTCGTCAGACACAAAGAATTGACCAATCGCAGTCGACTATTCTTACGACTACGACTTTACGACTTCTATGTAGACGAGGCTCCTGGTTCAGGAGGTCAATTAATTCTGTATCCTGCAATGCAGTGAAAATGCAAAAAGTGAACGGCTTTGTCTCTCTCTCTTCTTTAAGGGGATGGTTAGAGAGAGACAAAGCTGTTTTAGCATTTTCGCTACAGTGCAAGATACAACGAATCGACCCCCGAGCATGTAAATGCAAACGAACCGGTCCGCTTCGGCGGGCGGCGAGAGCAGGTCGCGGTTCGTTCGCGTTCGTTCGCGCTCGAGCTCTTGGTGATTTTCACCCGTGCACGGGACATTCGAATCGACTCGGGTCACAGTCTCGTGAAAGTCGAAAGGAAAACGGGAGGGATATAAGAATTGACTCTGAACAAGCCTTAGTATGCACCCGTTGTCAATGCGCACAACCCAATTCGCTAGAAGTACGAGCTGGAGGTCAATTCTGTATCCTGCAACGCACCCAGTGAGAAATGATTCGTCGATCGACGTCGAAACGACGTCGAATCGACGTCAATTCGACGGCGTCGATGTCGATTCGACGTCGTTTCGACGTCGATCGACGAATCATTTCTCACTGGGCAGTGAAGATGCTAAAAGCGAGCGGCTTCATCTCTTTCTAAAGGGACGGTTTTAGCATTTTCACCATAGTGTAAGATACAGAATTGACACCCCGGCTGGTTCACAGCTGTAAAGTTTGGACATCGAAGCTTGAAGCAACAGGCTGATAGCTTGCCACGTCGAATGCCACGGGATTTGAACGGAATGGACGGAGAGCTAAGCGTTTTATCAAAGAAGCGATATATCTTCTTCTTCTTTTTATTAACTTTGTAGCGCCCCAGGTTCCAAATGGTTGCACGAGGCAACGAAACCTCGCCGCAATCCTCTAATTAGGAGCGTCGTGTGGCGCGTCTCCGCGCGCGAGTGCCCGCAAGTGTCGAGGAGCCGATTGGCGTAACGCACAGCGGATGCCGTTGCGATTTCGGCGGAAATAGCCGACGCGTCACGGTGTTTACGCGCGTCGCTTAATAATCACGCATGCAGCGCGCAGCCAATCGTAAAGAGCCGGGCGGCATTTCGCTCGCATATATTTAGTGCGTCCAGTCGTAGATTTTTCAAGGGACGCAAGCGTGCGCGGCCGCCACGCGCCTAGTCTCAAGCCCGGTCTGCGCGCGTGCGCGCGCAGACGCGTGTTCCGAGATTATGCAACTGAGCGAGCGGTAACGTCTCGCGGCCGCCGCGGCTTCGGTGTCGTCAGGTGTTGTTGTTCGCGCACGAGCCGAGAGGCCGGAGCTCGCGGTTTTCCCGGGATCGAACTGGCCCCCCGGCCTCTCTCGCTCGTTCACGGCCGCGTTGATCATCGGCGGAAGAAACGGGTGCCGAATGGACGCGAGCGGTGTCGCGTGCCATCGATCACGATCGCGCGCGTACGCGCGCGCGAGCGCTTACGTGCTTGGGTATCTATCGTGCAAGTGTTCGGAGTGGATTTCGATCAAAATTACGTTTTTCCTAGAAAACAATAGAAACACCGGGAGATAGTTGAACAGTTCCGCGATCGGAGTCTATTCCGAACATTTGCACGATAGGTCACTCTGATCCCATGATGTACCGTGCATGTGTTTTTACATCATGCTCGATCTCTGCTTGTTCGCGACGTTGCAAAAGTCGCTTAAGTCACTTATCACCGCGCGACACGGGGATTCTGCTGCTCTCGCGAAAGGCGTCCGGAGAAAAAAAGAACGACATTATCTTGCGATTGTCAGAGTGACTTTACATTCTCAGCGCAATATTTATCTAATCTAATGTTTACTCGATCTTGCGCTTCTTTGCACGGTCTTTTTTACTATTTATGTCCTTATCAAATTGACATTGCTTTCAGGTTGGTGCTGAATGTTGAAGATACTCGCTGTGTGACAAGCCGTAAGTGTTGACGAAATGTCTTTTTAAAGGAACAAATTGGGACAAGGGTATATTAGTTAATATATCTTCTCTTACTTCGCAGAGAATGGCAGGTGTCGTGTACATGATAGGACTTTTGCTGGCGGGAGGAGCAGCGGCTTGGACCGTTGACATCGCGCCTGAAATAACTGTACATATGAATCAAGTGAAATTGGTCCCGTTCAGCATGCACGATCTCGGTACCGAAGTGCACGTATTGTACATCAGTGCGGACCAAAGTATCGCGACACTGAAGATGCATGAAGATGTATGGACAAACCAAACCTCACGCAGCGGTTTTATAAATGTCACCGGAGTATTCCTCGGCAGAACCAAATTAACGTTTATTGTAGAAGGAATAGAGGTAGGTGCTAAGCGAACGTTCAGCTTTGTTGCTTTGCCTGGTGGAAATGTTTTGTATGATGAAGCTTCGCTGAAATGTATTCGAAAATGCCGTCTTAATTGAGTCCCGTTATCGTTTCATCGATATTTCAGTATGTTGTGTATCGAGGGATATTCGCAAGACATCTTTAAGATGTCATTAAGTTGTCTTTCAGACATGCACGTCTAAAAGATGTCTTCAAGATATCTTTATGACGCCTTTTAGACACGTGTGCCGTCTGGATTCTCAATAACTTTAGTTTCACTCTTCACCGATTTTATGTTACTTTCTGTAAAGTATTTCCATCGGAATTTAATTTCCAGACTAACGAGAAGAGATACTCAAGACGCGAGGAGGACGCCGCTCTTATCATCGTAATACGAGAGGAGCGCACGATAGACACTGTATTTACTATCAGTGTAGCAATACTCGTATCCATCTTGTATATTAATTTTGGCTGTGCCTTGGATTGGGACGTGTGCCGCGCTACGTTGAGAAGACCGATAGGTCCAGCCATAGGTTTCCTCTGCCAGTTTCTGATTATGCCATTGGTAAATCTCCCAAGCATAAACATGCTAGTTGTTGCAATTTATACACAATGTATTTAATAACACCTTACCGTAGATAGGTATTTACAAGGAATTAAACTAAGTAGAAAAATCCTTTTTGCGATTTTCACAACAAGCGAGAAATTAATGAGATCCACGCGGGTCTCGACAAACTCTTCTACTTAGTTTAACTTCCTCTATCTACCTACAGCCGGTGTTAAGCCCGTATCAGACTACGGATTGGGATTGGGATTGGGATTAGATTGAAATTTAACCAATCACAGTAAAGTTACTAACTACTCAAGTTCAGTAACTTTTACTCTGATTGGTCAAATTTCAATCTAATCCCAATCTCAATCCGTAGTCTGATACGGGCTTTACACGTGTTATACAGATCTGCGAGGTTTGGTTGTTAAGAATCATTATTACCCAGATAGCATGCATATCCAAAAGAGATCTTTAAGACTGCATTAAGTTATCCTTTAGACATGTCTGTCTAAGGCTGGCATTACATTTGTCGTATGACAAATTTTTCAAGTGTGATTGGCTGCAGTATAGTAAAATTCTTGAGTATCTAGAAATTTTCTACTCAGCAGCCAACCAACAATTGGGCTAAAAGGTGTCTTAGGGTCTATCTAGACAAATTTGCATAGCACATAAACATACGCATAAGGAATCTGATTGGGCCAGTACATGCATAAGGAAATAATCCAATCAATTTCTTTATGCTTGTGTACTTGTGAAAGTTTGTCTGGATAGACCCTTAAAGATACCTTTATGATTTCTTTTAGACATGCATTGCTATCTGGGTATAATTCATTTTGAAGAAGAAGAATAGTACTACATGAAGCCGTCGATCAAAGTGTAGGAAATAATTTGCTCTCTTTGTAACACTTTGATAAATGTAGTCAAAATCGTCATTTTTGGACCATCTTACCTGAAAAACCTGACCGGCAATTTTTGCGGTCGGATTCATATTGAGAGCACAAAATTATGTACACTTTTAACCCACCCTTAATTTCGCAGGCCTGTGTCATTTGCCATCCTGTATAGATATTATACTTTATATTTCGCACACTTTTTTGCCATTCAGATTCCTCAAGATCCTGATTTTATATTGTTTCCAGTTGAGTTTTCTCATTGGATATCTTTTATTTCCCGATCGTCCTGAACTGCAAATAGGCATGTTCTTCACAGGGATAAGTCCAAGCGGCGGCGCTTCCAATATGTGGACACTGCTGCTCGACGGCAATCTGAATCTTTCCATCGCCATGACCACTTTATGTACCATTGCTGCATTTGGTAAGCGATACGTGGCGCGAAGTGACTTCTTGTGTAGTGCTCTGTATAAAGTTTGCCACTTTTGATAGGAATGATGCCATTTTGGGTGTTCACATTGGGCAGGTATATTTTCGCGCAGGGAGAAATCGCAGTCCCCTATAGTCATATCGCCAGTTTCGTCATCGGCCTCATAATTCCACTGGCCATAGGATTTTTCATTCAAAAGAAGCTTCCGAGGGTGTCGAAAATATTGGTCCGAGTAATGAAACCTTGCTCCGTGGTCTTAATTATATTCATCATCATATTCGCCATCACGACTAATCTCTACATGTTCAAATTATTTTCGTGGAAGGTGAGTCCGTATCTTTCTCACAAATCCACGAAAAGGGCATCGTTTTATTTTGTCCTTGCCTCAGATTATCTTCGCGGGAATGTGTCTACCTTGGCTGGGCTTCACGTTTGGTTTTATAGTAGCGAAAGTCTGCAAGCAACCTCGAGCTGACGTACGGGCGATTGCCATTGAAACTGGCATTCAAAACACAGGCGTGGCAATCTTTTTGTTGCGATTTACATTAAAGTCACCCGCCGACGACCTAACTACTGGTAAGTCTGTACGAATGTACGCATATACGTGGCGTTACCTCAGCCGTCTAACAAAACGTTTTCCCTTTCAGTGGTTCCCGTGTCTGCCGCGATGATGACACCGGTACCGTTAACAGTTCTATTTATAATAAAATTGATTTATCAATACAGACAGAGGAGGAAAGCGGAGGTGACATTAGATCAGGTTCCGTCGTTAGAAAAGCTCCAACAAACTACAGATATTTCCACCATCACGCAGAATGCGTTGAATGAATCTAGATTGATTCACGAGTCCAAATCTGCGGGACAATAATACCTTAAGGATTTGCATTGTCCAATGAGAAATGACTCGAATCGACATCGATTGACAAGTTATTTCTCGCTGGGATACTTTTTACATATTTTATGTATCAATATTGAAAGTCGAAATTTTAACAAGGATAGGATGGTTGCGGATATTATTAATTATATATAATAATGTCGTAATGGCTTCCGGATGGTTGCCGCATCCATTTGCAGTGTGGTGCTGACGTTTCGCAAACATTGCAATTTGCATCATCAGGCCTGGGAGACTCCGTTACTGGACACTACTGTATATAATAATGTCTATATGTCTACCGTTGAACAGCACTATTGACTGTTTGAGATTTATATTTTTTACGCCGATAATACTTAAAGTGCCAGCAATTTGATTCGTTGAGATACAAGGGCGTAGCGGAAGTTGGCTTCCGTCGCTTAGTTGCGACCAGTGTTCGTGAAATATTTTATATTTTTGTTGAAAATCTCGCTTGCATTTATACACTTTACTTTTGCATACGGAAAAAAATTAAAGAGTTGTATTTTTCTAAGCTGATCTCTTATTACCGGACGACACTCTAGTTTTAAAGGCAAGAGTGTACACGAGCAAGAACTTTAATTCGAGTCGAGTCGTCGTTAAATGCCTGTGAATTTCGGAGAACGAGGTTCTCGCGCGTCGGCGAGCGAGAGCGGTTTTCAAAATTCGCGCCGGTCGCCATCAGCGCCGTCCTCTAACGAGCTGAACACAGCGACGTTTCGGCAGTGTGTGCAAGTTTGAAAATCCCTCGCGCGTATTAGCCAAACGCGGCGCAATTCGGTGCGTTTCGTACGAACGAAGCGCTTCCATTCTCCTCGCGAATCTCGCCGCGCGACGAGCATTGATCATCTCGTTGACTCGCGAGGCGGGAATAACGCTCCGCTTGGCGCCTTCCGTTTAGCTACGCACGTCGACAGGTCCGTCCTCTTCCAACGTCCAGCGAGCAACGGGGACGGAACGACGCCCGTGTGGGCATGCGCGTCGGTAAATGTCACTTCGGTGGGGGCGCGCGCGCGCTGACGTTGGCCGGCCTGCGCCCGCGCGGCCGTCGCCGCCCGTTCTCGCCGCTAACTTCAGCGCGCGTGACTTCAGTCAGTTGAGCGTTTACAGTGCGCCAAAGGTCCCCGTAGGGATTCGGTGGCGGTGATTCGGACTTTGGTGATCTCGCGTCTGCCGAGGACGCGACCCGGCCACATCGGCCGACGACGCGCGGATCGGCAGCCGCGGCGGAGAGTGTTCTCGAAGACTGTAACGCGCGCATTCCCGCAAAACGAGAACGAAGCCGAGAGAAAGATAGGTAGGGCGAGAGAGAGAGAGAGAGAGTGATAGACGAGCGAGGGACGGAGCATGCGACCGCGCCTCTGCGACGTTACTCGGCGTGTCGATGAGGATGGGAAGTGCGCCGTCGCCACCGCCGCCGCCGCCGCCGACGACGACGAGGACGAGGGACAAGAGTGAGTCAGGGATAACGTCGTTGCGGTACGCCGTGCGGTGCTGCATCACCACCGCTTAGGAATGGTATCGCCGTCCAAGCACCAATACCAGCAGCAGCAGCAGCAGCAGCAACAACAGCCCAGACAGCCGTCGAGAGAGAACAAATTCGATCCGCGACGAACGCAAGGTAAGCCTCGCTCCTGGAGCGCGCGATCCCGCGTTGCATAATAACTCGGCGCCGACCGTTAATGGACGTTGCGTAGAGACGTTCGCTCGGGGTTTGTGTTTGACACGCGTTTTTACTCGCCTCTCTCTCTCTATCTCTATATAGCCAGAGACACGCGTAGACACGCACGCGTACACGCGCGAACATGCGCCGATCAGGGAGCGATCGGTGATCACTGAGAGTGCTCGGGGTGTTCTCGGCGAGGAGGCGATCGCCGGGGTACGCGCGCGCGTCTGCCGTCACTGAGGAGCCCGAGTTGTTTTGCAGAGGAGCGAGACGCCGCCAGCTCGGGCGGCTACGCTTGCGGATAGCGAGAGCCTCGCCGAGACGCCGGGGACGAGTACTCTGAACGATCACCGGCGTGTTTCCCCTCCCCTTGGCTGTTACGCCGCAAACACTAACTCCGTTTTGTATGTCCCGTCTTGTAGCACGCTCGCTCCCTGGATGTGAGTAACAAGACTGCTATTATTGCTTCGTTTAGAGGCTGTGCACCAATTTGCCTGTATCATGTGATTTGTACAGCGGTTGGTATGCGGAACGCGAGACAAGCAAACTCTGTCGCGAGAGATAAGCGCGCTCGTACGAGACGAGGGAGGAAGAAAGGGTCCGCGGGGACCCTACGCAGCCCCCGGTTTTACCCTCGTGTCGCTCGACACTCGCGTCGACGATCGAGGCGGCTCTATTTTCTTTCCCCGTCTCGCGGCCTCGTCGCGCGCCTGTACATACACAGGTCGCGGTGCAAAAAGTGACGAAAAGAAAAGTAAAGTCTTTTAAAACTTCTTTTGTAGATATTCGTATACAAAGGGGCCCGCAGCCTTTGGGAGAGAAGTCGTTCTATTTGGACGTAAAGAACCATGCCGTCGCGGCCAAGCTAGAGGCACAGATCAGGAAGTTGGGTGGTGTGAGTTGCATTTCATCTCCTTCGCTTGCGCGACGATGCTGCGTCAGAGTAGCCCGCAGCAGCAGCGGAGCGGAGCAGCAGGAGCAGCAGCAGCAGCAGCGGCCCGTGGCCCGCGTTTCCCGCTTAGTTTCTCGCCGCTTATCGATTTGTCAGAGCGTTTTGGTGTATTTCGGGCGAGTGTGCGAGGCCCCTCTCTCTCTCACTTTCTCTACCTACCTCTCTCTCCCTCCTCCCCTCCCGGCCGCCCCCTCCCCTCCCCCCCGTTCCTCTCTTCCCGCCATTTTCGATCACTATGCCTACGGCCGCTTCGACGTAACGCCCGCTCGCTCCCCTACGCGCAAACACGCGCGCACACGTATCACGCGCGTGTACGGACGCGCGCGCGCGCGCGCAACACGCGCACACGTGCGCGCGCGCGAAAAAGGAAAAAAATTCGAATCTCCAGCTCTCGCGACCGACGCGCTCTCCGGCCATTCAAACCGACCTCGTTGCCACGCGATATCACGGAGTACGCGCGCGATTATCGAACTGCCGGGAACGCAGGCTCGTCCCCGAACAATTCCGCGCGCGCGGATCTTACCGGGTCAGCCGGAGCGCCGAGGCTCGTTTCCCCGACGGGTTTAGACCGATGGCGAGGTGTAATCCGTAAAGTCTGTCAGTCGTAGACGCGAGGTGATAAGAGAAGGGCGCAAGTCGTACTTACGTTTCGTCCACTTCTAACGATGCAGATTAACTGCGATCTCGGTTCAACTTTCTCCTTATCTTTTTCCAATCCCGGTTTTCACCAACGTCGCTTAACTTTGAGCTTAGTTTAAATCGTCTTTGGTCGCATTCTATGGCCCAGTTTCACCAACGTTGCTTGACTCTAATATCGGTTCACTTTATTGTTTGTCTCTGAAGGGTCGTGTCACCAATGACGCTTGACTCTAAGCTTGCAACGTTTGTCTCTTAATTTCTAAAGTAGAGGAAAGTCCCCTGTTATGAGATGGGATCCCAATATAAGATAGCGGAGTTTCTGTTAAATTAATAGGCATCGTCAGTCGATTTCGCCATGAATTTATTGCCCTCGGAACGAAAGTTGCTCAGTGGAAAATTTATTGTCAGATTGTGTAATCGTTGCGAAAAAAGATTTGTGCGTTGAAAACCTGCTATCTCATATTAAAATCCTATCTCGTAACAGATGACTTTCCTCTAACAGTTAGAAAGAGACAAAGAGCGAATTAAGCCAAGCTTAAA